CAGCATGATTGAAGGTTATTTCAACGTATGAAACAAATCTCCTAGAGGCATATTTTGAGTTATCAAAACTACTACCCTATCAGTTTGTGAATCCTCATTAGTATTGTCAATCATTTTCGATTGCATTGTATGTCATCGTTTTTTATATACATTGCGTAAAAAGAAAAGATTGTTTACATACAAAAATCTTTCATTTATAATACGAAGAGAGTAGAAGAGTATAAGACGAAAGAGAGAGAAAGAAAGAGAGAAGGACGTGATGATATCAATGTATGATATTGATTGATAGTTAAATATGTATGACAAAAGGTACAAACGAACCGCAAAATGTATCTATGGTAATTTATCAAACATAATATTCTAACAATAGATATGTGTATTTTCGACATGTTATTTAGACACATATGATACGATAGATATACCAAATGAGTCAACAACATTTAGAACATTGATGTTTCATGTCAAATGAACTAAAAACATCCTGCCGACAGACTATGATGATCATTGAGAGAAGAAGAAAAACTGTCGGCAATAAATAATTGCTCGAGAAACATATGCATACATTTTTATGATCATCATCAATAACGTTAAGTATGTATAGGCAACATGATGATGATTAATGGATGGACAGATATGGTGAGAGAGAGATAGAGAGAGAAATAGTAATGAAGGCTTTTTATATAGACAGGTTAAAGTTAAAGTTGGCTAGTTCCAAAATCTAAATATTATTATAATTTTATGAAAAAAAAATAATCCTATTTTTAGTTTATCATTTAAATTATTATCATAATCGTCTTTTTTTGGCGTGCAAAATAATTCAAATCAAAAACTAGAAATTTTATTAAACATAACTAGTCAATTATTAAAGAATACTGAGAAAAAAATGTAAAATTTGTCTTCTATTTTGAAAAAGTATGAACACCTACTAGCTTGATGAAGTATAATCAAAATACATGATATAACATGACTATAAATGATGGATTTTTATGTTACATGTACGAACGAGTATATAGTTCAGTATAGATAAGAAATCAGCAAAAAAAAAAAAAAAGAGAGAAGAAAACCGATTTAATCGGCGTGTCATGTTTTAGTTTAATGCATAGGATGCATGAGAGTTGTATTTATATTTAGTTCACGTTATTCTATCGTTAACCATTTATCAAACAAATTGATGTGTATATTGAGAGAGAGAAGAAGAAAGAATGATAAACGGCCTCGATTGATGTCAATTTTTACAAATAGTTCATTAACATCACACCATAGACGAGAGAAAGAGAGAGAAGACCTTAAGGGAGCATTAATCAGTGGTACATATCATTTTAATACAATTTATCATTTATAATCAAAATAACAACAACAAAAATAATAAATCTTCTCTTTAAATAGTGACTAACGATCATATTTTTTTTATATAACGTGACTGATTTATATCTAAATGTTCAAGTCAGAAATAAAAAAATTTTTTTGATAATCAATATCTATATTCTATAAGAAAATATTAGATTCTTTATATCTTATGCTAATAACCTTTCTTAACTCAATTATTTAGAGACCATTATATAAAATACCATTTTCAAAATCGTTATTCCTTCATTCAAGTACTCAACTTAAAATCGATTATATATCAATAGATATTTTGAAAGATTGTTGATTTTTTCATTCTCATTTAACTTGGCAATGTTAGCATAATAATGTCAAAAATCTTCAAGTATCTTACAAATTCTTTTACGAATAAAAAAAAAAAAAATTCATATTTGATGAAAAAAAGTGTATCAACAATATAACATAGAAAATGTCTGTCTGCTGTGAATATTGCTCTCTAGTGAAGATATGAATGTTATAGATTTTGGTTCTAATTCGTTTTGACAGAATTCATTATCGAACCTATGTAATCGTTAAGTAGTCATCGACATTTGTTCTTCTTTTCTTTTTCTATTGCTTATTCAAGCATAATTCGATAATTTACTGTATGCAATGCGATGTTTGCTTGCAAGATTATTATTTCTATCAGATGTTATCTATAGACATGATCATAATCATCATCAGCATGAAACCAAAGGATGTTATTGTTTTTAGCGTGTGAGAATTTAATGAAACAATATTGAATTGATTTTGGCATTTTCTATAAACATATCTCTATATATATACACACATATAGTTAAAAACAATTTGATTGACATTGTCCATCATCTTAGGCATATAAAGAAAATTGTTGATATAGTTCAAACAAACATCAAATAGTATTTATAAATAATCAATCATCGACACATTTTGACAAATGCCGCTGTTAAAGTTTCATATTTCAAAAAAATAAAAAAATCATTATCAAGGTTAAATGAACTCCAACAGTGATTTTATGTTTGTTACACTTTGATCAGACTAAAACGATATTTTTTAATCTTTCAAAGATCACTTGTATTTATTTTTTTTCGCATTCTTATTGACTGATAATGTTCTAATTCAAATCTTGAAGTTTCTTGCTTACCAAGTCGTAATAAACGATGTTATTTAAATATTTTATCAATCGATTTTATTAGAAATGTCAAAAAGGAATAATAGCTGTCATAGAATTTGTATTAGAGGATCCATTGATTTTATAGCTATACTTAAGAACTATCAACTAGCTTATAAAAAACAAAATGAGCTCTATGAGAAAGATCATTCCGATCAATATTATGATTAAACGTGCGAATAATCTTATTCGTAGCCAGTTTTACATCGAATTTGCACTATGATTCAATTCAAAAGTCTTAATTTTATTTCGTTAATAAATCTATGCTAAGAATTAAATAGTCACAATGGTTAACAACATGTTGTTCCAACGAAATATACAGGATGGGCCAAAAGTTCTTAAGTACTTTCCTATTAAATTCTTATTCATATTGAGTTGCGTTTAAAAATTTAATATTTAGCTCAACGGATAGAGAGTTTAATCCTGTAGAAAACTGTCAATTTTGTTTTGAAATTAATTTTGAATTTTCGGTTTAGAAATAAAAATACAAAAATAATTTGATATGAAAAACTGACCATCTATCGAATTGAAGTTCGTCTTAGTGTATCTGACTAACAAAGATTTATTTATAAAAACAAATACAATACACCATTAAATTTAGCATCGTCCTATACTTCATGTGGGCAAAGCAAAATCCTTCTAAATCCTGATGACTTTCGGAAGAGTTTTTCTTGAAAGTTTCTTAGGAGTCTAGGAAGATTCATCTTTATTATTTTATACTTTTATTTATAATATTATTTTATGGTGTATGAAATCTTGTAACGTTTTCTGCATCTTTTGGTATAAAATACATGACTTTAAATTTTGAGCTTAAGAATAAAATACCGATAATATGGATTTTGTACGTAAGTCAGTTAATTCAGAGCTTTCTTTCTTACAAAAAAGAAAAGAATACTCATTTAACATAAATAGTGTTAGATTGTACAGCTTAAAATTCGACATCTTCTGACGTTAAAATAGTTATTTAAAAGTTGAAATGAGAGAGATCAGCAAAAATTCTTCGCCAAAGAAGTTAAGTTTATTCTATAACATTTATAAAAGTTATTGTGAATAGTCTACTGAAATTTCGAAAATATATTTCAAAACAAAATTGGCAATTTTCTACAAAAATAAATTCTTTAGCATTTGAATTAAATAGTAAATAACGCCAGTTCATATAGATAAAATTTGAATAGAAAAGTGCTTCAGGACTTTTCTGTTTTACCGTATGTATGTCTAGAGTTGAATAATAATCTTCTGTGTATTCGTGCTCTTACTTCATATATCAGTAAAGACACGACAACGACTAAATCACATCCAATTTATTATTTACGATAGAATGACAAATGATTTTGTCTGGTTCATGTCAAAAAAAATCCGAATCTCTCTCTTTCTCTCTCGTTCTCTTTGTCACAACATGATATGTATGTATGTGTCACGTAAGTTATTCATCAACTATATACAAGAGATAAATAGCTATCAACAAATTAATTTCGTAGCTAAACATTCTCACTCACTCAACTCACTTATCATTCGTCTTGACAAGAGGGCAACAGATACATTAATCTTACTCAATAAAAAAAAAAAAAAAATGTTGTTATTCTGTTGGTTTTTTTTGAAAATCAAAACTCTATTAAATAACAACGATATATCCATTGCTCATCGAGAAAAGAGAGAGTCAATTTTTCTTATTTTACTTTAGATTGTCATTCATCTAATGAATTTATGCATCAATCTCACTTTTTCTTCTCGTGTATACTAGTTCTGTCTGTATTTGTGTAATAATATGTTTTAAAATCTGTATAGGTTTTCCCTATCGTTTCTTTCTTTTTTTTTGTGTGTGTGACGTGATTGATATGATTACATACATTCGATAGACATTTGTTTATTGTCCTTGCGTTAGAAAATTAAGATTAATTGTTACGACAATTGTGTCAAACGGCATTTGTTTCATGAATTTTGTTATTTGTGTGCGTATTTTTATATTGACTTATCCTATATATTCTCTGCTTCGAGGTAATGAAGGACAATCATCCAGAATGGTAAAGATTAAAAAAGTTCATTATACTTATAGCAATAGTATCTTTATCAGTGAAAAATTATGTATAAACACGAACAAAAAAAAACAAAACATTTGACAAATGAGAAAACAAGGTACAAGATGATTTCTATTGCTTGACACTGTTCAAATTTAAAAAAAAAAATACAAGAGTCACGATTATGCCAGACATCCATCTTACAATTGCGTTTTCTCTCATTGAAAAACAATTCATGTATTTTAGAGGATGAATAAATCTTCGGCTGAGTGTGATAGATTGATGATATAGTTGAGTAATCTTATGAATTGAAGAGCACATCTTGCTAAATTTAATTCAACCATGCAAAAAATAGTAAAAAAAAAAAGAGCTGATACTTGCAGAGAAAAAATTACTTAGTTTTTGATCAATAGTTTGTCCAATTAAAAATAACTGACAAAAAACCGGTAATCTTTGAGCAAAAGTAAGTTCTTTTAGCGAGATCCAAATAATGGTAAATTTGGGTAAAATCCAAAATGATGCGGTGGAAGATTGGCTAGAGCAGCTGCAGCAGCATTTGAACTATTTTGCATAGAGGACGGAGATGTATTTGTTGTTATTGTTGGTTTCGTATAAGGATGAAATCGATGATGTGTCGGGATAGGTTTTGTTGGAGATCGAGAAGATGTCAAAGCTGATTGATAATAATCTTGTGTGTGTGCTGTCCGTAAATGTGTTAAAAGTTCATCAGTAGTTGAATAACGTTTACCACAATAAGTAGAATCACGAGCGCTAATCCAATTACAAACAAATGGTTGACGAACTAATTCACATTGTAAACAACTTGGAATTGTACACGGTATCGATAATTGTGAATGTGCTAATAGACAATGACGACAATAGGGATCAGAACATGTTAAATTTAAGTTCGTTTCTTCTTTCGGAGTGTATGCAGCTAATAAAGCTGCTGAACGAAGCGAATCTGCTCGCAGTAGTGCTAAATACGGATCGAGTAATGATGAATATGCGGCGGCTGCCATATACGAATGTGTAAATGAAGGCAATGACGATGGAGTCGTGACAGTTGTCCGTGGTAGACAATCTGCTAATGAGTTATAGTATGATTGGGGTTCAAATGTATAACGTGATGACGATGTGGTAATTGATTGTTGAGATTTTTTTATCTCTAAACCATTAGTGGCTGTCATCGACGATGATGATGATGGCGTAGAGGCGTTGTCTTGATTTGGTTTCGCTAAGAAATTTGTCGTTGACAAATTTAATATGCCATTGTTATTGCTCTTATCATATGAAGACGTTACTTTTGTTGTTGGTGATAGTTTTTCATTTTTATGATGATGGCCATGATGATGAGATGTATGATCAGAACGTTTTTCAGTATTAATTATTTCATTTAGTTTTGACGTTGTTTTCTCGTTATTTGATGGATATGTAGCTTTTGGCAATGTAACGTTGGCTGTCGTTGTGGATGGTTCTTTTCCAATACTACTACATGTTTGAGCCAATAATGCTAGAGGACTTTGACTTGAATCCAGCTGCAGAAAGAAATGAACAATACTGTTTTCAAACATTTCAAAACTTTTCTAACATTTGATTATAGATTTTTATTTTTTTTTCAGATAACTTCCTAAGTTCAAAGATCGTATGAACACTCTTTTTCAAAATTTTAAATACTTTGTTCAAATATATCGCCTCTGCTGAAATCACAAATCTAACAACTAAAGGTAATAACATGGACCAAATTTTTGTTTTTTATTTTCAAAATGATTACGTTTATATGTTCTGTGAAAGAAAATACATTTAAAAAGTTGACCAAATAATCTCATTATTATCTAACTTATTCAGTATTTTTTAAAGAAAAAACATACTTTTTTTACACATTTCTTACTTATATTTGTCTCAAATTTTAACTGAATACAAATACAGAACACTTACTGAACTTGTTGACGCCATACCGGAAGATAATTGCGATAAAGGATGAATGTAATCGGGTCTTAAATAAGATGTACTGGAAGACATTTTTTCATTAAAAAAAGAAATTGTATTAGTTTAATGTACAACTCAATACTCTAGATGTAAAAACGGCCCTTTTTCATGTTCAGTTAACATATATATATATCATCAAGAGAGTAAAAAAAAAGAGAAGCAGAACATATAAACTTGGAGAAGAAAATATATATATATATAGTTTTTTTTCCTCTCATTTTTCATTTTTCTCTTTTTCTCTACTATTTTTTATTTTTTTTTTGTATCCAATATTGATGAGTCACAAGTTCTAGTTGTTTTTTTTTATAATAATAATAACTAAAGTACAGTATCATCAATTAGACGTTATCCTATAAGAGATCTATAATTCAGCTGCTTCATGTATACTCTGCTCTGCATTCTGTTCTCTCTTTCTTTCCATTTATCCAATTTGACGTATATATCATTATGATGAAACAATGAGGTCTCAACAACTCATGCCAAAACTATCATGTTCTATAGCAATTTTATATACAAACAGATAGATGAAAAATCGAATGTAGTTAAGAAAATTGATGATGAGAAATGAGAATGATTTTACCGGATATGGAAAAGAAAGAGGTGTTACTATTGAAGAGAAAAATGCCAACAAAAAAAAAAGACAGTTGATGATGATTTAAGACCTATGAATAATTTTCTTTTAAATAAATTCTTCATTAAAAAGAAATAGAAACTGTTCAAAAACAAATTGTTATTAATATTCAAATTTTATTAGTTTGGATAGATCATAATTTTGAAATGAGATCTAATTTATCGTCTCACCTGGTACAGATAATCCAACAATTGAAAAGCTAAAGAGACTGGAAACACGTAATATTGAATGAATTGTATTGTCTTCTTGCGTTTTCATTCTTCAAATGAAATATTCTATAAATTATGGCGTCATTTTTAAAGAAAAAGTTTTTATTTACCCTTGTACTTCGAAAAACATTGATTATACAAAATTATTTATAACAAAAACAGCACATCATTGTCTCTTTTAACATATTTTTCATTTATTCGTCTCATCTATTGCCATTGTGTTTGTATCTTCAGTATTATGTTTATTAGAATATCGTTTCTTTTTTTCTTTACTATTATCCTCTAACGGTTGTAATTTCAAATAGTCATCGGTTATTCCTTCATTGATATGATATAATTCATCATTTGTCAAAGTTTTTCTTGTTACTTGTTCATCAGACATATATTGTTGAGCTGTTTGATAATTTTCCGGTAATTTAATAAACAAATCATTTACTAAAGTCATTTTCAACATTTCATTAATCATAAACGGTTTTAACCAACAAATTAGTGGAGAATAACCTGGTGAATAATAGCCTAATGAATGGTAAAATAAATAACCATCTAGTTCTTCATTTAATGTCAAACTTTGTTCAAATAAAACTTGAGCATGTATTTTGGATTCAATTAAACTTCGATCGATCAACTAAAATAGAAATAGAGTTTGAAAAATAAAACATTTTTGTATTAACATAAGATGAACAACAACATACAGATATTAACGGAACAAAAGTTTTCGTGATGTTACTGGGCTAAGACAATTTCCGTATTTATTAAAGAGTCGAAATTTGATACCATCGATTAGAGTAGATGTCACTCAAAACTATTATCGATGCCAAAAAAACAGCTTCCCGGGCTATTTTTTGAATAACTTCTGATAACAAAGCGAAAGCGATCTGCGGCTTTCAGATTCTGAAAATAGACACTTTCTCACAACTTTCGCTAAGTAAAAGCTAGTTTTGAAACTGTTCGGAAGATCCTGTTTTCTGACAATATTTGGAAAACAACGTTGTAGTTTCCGAAATTAAAATAACAAACTATCGATTTTTTTCGATAGATAAGTAGTCTGAAGTATCTTCTTTAAATCTAGATCTAAGCAAACTCCGGATTTCCCTCAGTTTTCCAAAGAGGCTAAGTTTTTCCGAACAAGCGATATCCTTAGTTTTTGCGGTTTGAAGATCCCAAAATAGGTCGAAATATATGTAATCGACTGTCTTGAACACCGTGTTGTTGTTAATTTTACACAAAAAAGAGTTTTCAGTGTGTTTGCGATACTAAAATTCTTTATTTGAGCTCTGTATTGACATACAATAGGTTTTAGCGCTTAGCCATGCTAAATAACTTGTCTGCAGTGATAGACCCTCGAAGCTATGTTTATCTGTAGGTGAAGATTGATACTAAAGTTGAAACCTCTTTTTTGTGTAAAATTAACAACAACACGGTGTTCA